TTTACTATGTTTAGATACTGCTTGCAGCCAATGATGCATGAAAATCTTTGTATAAGATGATGTTCTGGGGTAGGACTGGATAAGTCTGACTTCTTCCTACTCCATTCAAACATGTGCTGGGTATAAGCAAACTGATTCTGGATTAGCAGTGGTTGGCTTTGTGTAATTATGTGTGTGTGTTGATGTCATTTGTTCTGCATGTTTGAAAGAATAAAATCAAATCAAATAAAAAAAAATCAAATCAAAGGTTAGAAGGTTAAAGGGACTAAAATGATATAAGACGAGGCAACAGAAGAAGCAGCTGGTCATCGTGATGTCCACATGTAGAGGTGTGATGGTCTAACCTGGTGGGAAAAGATGGGTCGTACACGAAGCTGAGCAGCTCCTGGGGGTAGCCAATGGAGACCAGACGCTCCACTGTAAGCTCAAAGCCTAGGGACTCATACTCCGGTGACTTGTACACTAGAAATTCAACACACATATGCAGTTCATTCGATTTTACCCCAGTATAAGCTCACAATGCACACTGCTACAGTACAGTCCATGTTATTTTACTGTAGCGGTTAATTTAGTTCAGTCCTGGCCTGCTAGATCTGGTGTGTCAATGTTTTTCCATTAATAAACATCCATTAGGTGACTAACATTGCTATTATTTTCTTACTGCTTTTTAAAAATACCACACACATCTTTTCAAATGCAATTTCAGCCTTCATTAGTGTAGATTTTTTTGTTTTGTTTTTAAAGGTTTTTTTTTTAATGAACAGAAATGCACCTACTTTTTAAAAAGTTTTTATTTTTGTAAATATTATAAACTGAATATATTTGGGCTGTGGACTGCAGTTAAAAAACAAACCATATGAATATTTGTGACTGGCATTTTTGAGTGTTTTCTGACATTTTAAAAATAAATCTAAAATATGACCAACTTACTATTTGACAATGAAAATGAATGGTAGTTTTAGCCCTAAGCTGAATATCCTTGGGTATTTCAATGTTGGTCTGAAAAATGGTGGGCTCTGGTACTGTGAGAAGAAATTTGGCCTTTAATATTTAAAAAACAAAAAATTTGAAAAATGTGCTAAATTACATACTGACAGGTGAAATTTTTTGTACAGGGTGAAATCAAGTCAACAGTGACACCCCGGTGTAGCCTGCAAAAGATACCTCTACTTACTAATACCAATAATGACTAGCCATTAACATGGGTAGAGCACATGGCACACAGTACATGTACATATAACATAAACACTGTAGTATCTGTGCAGTTGAACAACATGACCTGTGGGTGTAGCTGTGATTACACAGCAAACAACATTTCATCAGAGATGCCATTCTGTCAGTGGAGGGAACTCGTGTTACACGTATGTGACTTGTCCAAGGCTACCTCAGTAATGTAGTAGTGCTGTCTCAGTATTTTGAAATCAACATGATATCACTCTCCAGTAGACCCCGACCTACACACACACACACACACACACACACACACACACAGAGAAGCTGGGTTCAAGTGTGAAAATGAAAAATCTCCCAACTTTTCAACAGCAACTCTAATGTGCCCTGCTGAGACTAACTAGATCCCACTGTGTCACTGCAGGAGTCAGACGCTTACCCCAGGATCAAACCAAAGGCAAGGCAGAGGTGGGCTCTGAAAATAAAAACACTGAGGCTGACAATAGGCTGGCAGATGATTAAAGGGATATTTGACACTAGGAAAAGAACATGTCATATGTTATAAATAAAGAAATGGAGACTGCCCTTATGTTGCTGCCTGCTGTCTACACTTTCAGTGTGGGGTGTGGAAGGCCCCTGGAGGGGAAGATATATTGGCTGATGATGCTTGGATGGAGGACAGTTAGTGGGGAAACAGCACTGCAGGACAAACAGGAAAACATCTGTGTCCACCTCTGCAAAACACATGCGTGCACTTGTGTCTCATGCTGGGTTATATGCAAAAGCATTAGTGTGCACTGAGTTACAGGAACATTTTAGGTTCAGTAAAGCTTTGTCTTTTTGCTGACACTCCTACTCTGTAAGCCTGAGTCAGTTTCTGAATTAGAATCACGTATCCTTGTGCAGTTCACCCCCCACAACCCCCGCCCCCTTGCTGTGGTCTCACAGAAAGCTGAGGGTTTGGGCCCTCTGCCCAGAGCACCATACACCAGCTAAACAACATTTCCTCCTCCTCTCTCACTTGTCATATCCCTCTTGAAGCTTTGAGGCACTACAAAGAAACCTATTTTAAGAGCAGTTTCCCCTCTCTGTCACTGTTGCTGTCATCACTCTGGCTGTCTGTAGTTCACTGGGTGACTCTCTTTACATGTCAACGTTTTTGAGACTCTGATGTGGTACTTCCACCCACACAAACAACTGAGGATGTATAACTGTCATTTATGCCATGTTTCCAATATCAGAACCTAACGAGCGATTATACCCCATACTTTCCTTAACCATCACCAAGCATAGCCTCCAGGGAAGATGCGGACCATCCTGCTTTGTATTTCCACTTTACTGTCTCTGTGTCGGTCTCTGTTTAGAGGAAGGAAGGGCTGCTGCTCTCTCTGTCTCTCTGCTGTGAGTTTACACAAGGTGCTTGTAATGCTAATGACTGAGGTGTGAAGATGTGGGTATTTAACCAATCACCAGCGACTGCTTTGTGTGCACGCACCCTGTCGTCGTACACAGTCCTGGTGCTTGATTTTAGTATTACCTCCTGAGAGGTGCTGAAATTTAGCACCTGGAACGCACCTCCAAAGCCACCGAGTGTAGCGGAAACAAAAGCACTGAGCATGACACGTTTCGCTAGGTTCCTATAATGGAAAAACCTCTTTAGGGTCAGGAAGTTGTTTTATTACATAATAATTAGAAAAGACCACTGTGAGGCTTTATTGACTATAGCTAAGACACAAACTGTTACAGCTACTCAACTGAACTGATCTGAATATAGGTTCAAAACCATTTAAGTCATGTCTAAATAAGCAAAAGACAAAGGTTAAAATTTGAGGGGAGAAAAAACATCTTTATATAGTGATTATCCAGAGAAGTTAAAAACTAAACTACAAATTGTTTATTTCATACCCCTAAAACCCCTCAGAATTTGGGAAACCTTTATTATTTTTATATTACCTTAAATGTTTGTGTCTAAATAAGCAAAAAACCAAAAGGAAAATTTAAAAAAAAAATCTCAAGATACTGTTTGAGATTAAGAGAAAAAACCAAACGAGCTTATTATTGTCTCTTTATATCCCTTCAAACTTTGACTTCAGACCTTCTGTAGTTTATTATATTAAATTTGTATGTCAAAATAAGTAAAAATCAACAATAAAGTTTAGAAAAAGACATAATTTGTTATCATTTAATAAAAGTTTAAAACAGTAAATTTGATTTCTCACTACTCTGGGTTTCATCAGATTTGACTGACAGTGTCATGGAAATGCGTGACATCACTGTTGTTTGAGCCCCCCCCATTTCAGACCAGTGACAATAGACACAAATTACAGAAAATGTCCCTTGCAAAATAAAGGAAACCCCTAATTTTGACAGACCTTGAAAACCACTGTGGAATACCATACTGACCATTGGTTTTACAGAGAGGTGACTTTAACAACTCTAAAACCACTTTACCTCTGAGCAACTTAAAAACAAGCCCCCCTTAAAAACTCCCCACAGACATATTACACCATGGCTCCAGTGTATCCTTTCGCAAGTAACTCTAGAGGCCCCTCAATATTTCAAATGTTTGAATGCTTGAGCAATAGTCAGTGGAGCGGCTGGTAGATATTTTTCCACCGAAGCCACACAAGGGGGTGCAGTCGTGGAAAGTACTGTGTTTTAGCAAATATGGCATCAAAGCAAATGTTACTGGAAAGTTGTGTTTACAACATTTGTGGACAGGCTGGAAGTTGTATGGTTTTTTTGCTGTGTCCTTGACTCTCTTGCATTTGTGTTTGCTACGGGTCCTTGCTCTGCTGCTGTAAGCCCCTTCTCATATTTCTCATGCTGTCAAGCAAACACAGATGCACATGCATGTCCAAATTGCCTTAGCTTCAAGGATCTGTTACCTTGTGTCCCTGATGAGATTACTGCCAGATAATACTACTCCCACTGATCTAATTGCTGAGTGTGTGTGATGCTGCTTTAGAGTTCACAGGGGCCTACATGTAACATGGACCTCTCACACACACAAGGTAAACTGCCAGCACCCTGCTACTAATAAACTAAACCCAAATCATATTATGTGTCTGACACAGATTTCATCTGAACCATGTAATACAGCGGTCTTCAGTAGAAGCCAACCTTAACCGTTGTAATTCATCTGTGGCCACTACTATGCAAGTAGGCCTTTGTCACAGATTTGTATGACACTATCAGGCATACACTGGAAAAATGAGATTACTTAAGCACAGCCTCAGGGACCTACATTCCAGCCAAGTCTGTTGGAAAACTAGGACAGTGCAATCTGTGCCTCAATATGAGAAACAAGTTGTACCGACTATTATGTGACCCTTTTAGGAGTACAAAGAACAGATGAGGCAATGCTGTCTCATACAATGTTGATTCAATTTGCAAAATCCTACAAACACGACATTTGTGTAAAAATTCTAACTAAAAAACTAAACTTGGAGTTTTGTATGCAAGGGTGATGAGTTGAGATCAATAACTCATCAAGGGTGATGAGTTAAGATCAATAATTAGATCAGAAATGCGTCACAGCACCATCACACAACATGAGTATCATGGGTCATGTTCTTCCTACCCTCATACACAGATACCAAGCTTCACTTCTTGCACTTGATGAAGTGGCAAGCAAACAGACTGCTCAAAATGTCAGTATTTAAATAGATTTATGTTTGCTCTTTGTTTTGTAGTAATTTATCTGAAAACTTATAGGCAGACAACCAACCACACTCACACACACTCCTACAGGCAGTTTAGAGTCACCAATCAACCTAAGCTGCACATCTTTGGACTGTGGGAGGAAGCCAGAGCCCCCGGAGAGAAGCCACACAAGGACAGGGAGAACATGCAAACTCCACACAGAAAGGCACTGGGTCGGCCAGGGCTCAAACCTGGGACTCTTTTGCTGTGAGGCGACAGTACTAACCACTGCACCACCATGCCGCCCATAATTTAACAACATTTAAATTAAAATGTGATTACAGTTGTGGAGCTGTTTACTTAAGATGGGAGTACTGTCAATCAAATTTGGCCCCCACTCCGAGTCCTGAGGGGCCAGAGTAGCTGAGTTATAGAATGCTAAAATGTTAACACATTAACCTGAACTTTTATTGTTGCTTAATCTTAAATATTGCACATTACATAATATTTAACGTTTCCATCTGTCGTAGGAGCTCTGTCAACACTTAATGATGCCAAAGCTTAAGGAAAACAATTTTGAAAAAGCTCATACTTAAAGCACTTTGCACACCTGTCCTGCCTAAAAACACATGCTGCAGTCGGCGAGGTGCTGTGGGTTAGCAGCAGCCATTCTGTCATTCTGAAGTCGATGGAACATGTCTGTGGTACAAACCTGAACACCCACCAAAGATACATGATATCCACACCTCTAGTGAACATTAACACCTGGTTATGAGCTCGCATAAAGAGAGCCATGTCAACAGCTGAGCGTCCGTGAAATCTTCTGCATTCTAAACGGGGACAGGGGATCGGAGCCTGACAGGGCCTATGAGTGATCCCCGTTCTCAAGGGAGCTATCACTGATGAACTCCAAAAAAAACCCCCAAAAAAACAAACATGACCTGCTTTTTATATAGAGGGCAGATTTATTTATAGAGGTGGAGAGACCAAAAACTGGAGCTGAGTCACAGAACAAAGTGGTGTGAAAAAGCTGGATATTTCTGGCCTGGTAGAAAAGTAGGTAAGGACAGTAGGAAAAAGAAACGTTTATATATGGGGAAGCTGTACCTAACATTTTGTTATTTGAGTGCTGCCTGTCACCAGCTTGGACATAAATGATAGTTTGTGTAAAGCAAGCTGCAGTTTGGGGGGAGGTGTAGACTTCAACACCTACGCTAATTATGCACCTTCAAAGGAAGTTTTAAAAAAAAAAATAAAATAAAAACAGGGATCTGATTTGCTGATCCCATAAGTGGCAAATTTACTGACACCGACAAAATATTCCAATTAAAACATCCTTTCTGATTTTCCCATTTCAATGCACTTTCATAGCTACATTTGATCTCTGGTCACAGTCAACGTGAATTTTTCTAGTGACACGTTCTTTTCAATAAATCTGCATTATTGCCATGACAGCAGGAAGGACAAGCAACCCTGATAGTAACCCTGATAGCCTGCGTACCAAAACGCTGTGGCTGGTGTGATGTGTGCTTTTATTTATATGATCAGAGAATTGATTTTCTTTCAACTTAAAATGAATTACTGTAGGTAAGGTCTTAAAAAAGACATTAAAATAATTAGCAGAAACTGATTTAAAAAATTCAACCTCACACTTGAGAGACCAGAAACAAGCAAAGCTTTTGTATTCATTCCTCAGTTGATTACTTTATTGATTACTTGATTATCTGAACTGTCCTCAAATTCCTGTTGATCAACCAAACAATAAAGCAAGCGTTCTGTTTTAGCACTAGCGGTGATAAGTTAGATGAATGTGTGTCAACTTACCCGCTAAAGTGTAATCCATGTCAAAGCCAAAGCACTTAATCTTCTCCATTGCCAAGCTTCTGTTGACAAACACTCTACAAAAAAACAAGTTGAGGTAAATGCTTTAGTTGCAATGCACTCATAAACAATTGGATTTGCATTTACAAGAGGAGATGCTATTTTCTGAGGAAAAGATTTACTGGAGCTTTTTTCCCATGCGCTGAATGGCCCTACTGTAGCTGACATTTGGGGTTACAGCAGGGCTATTCAACAGCCACCAGAAGCAGCACCAAAACATTGCTACTATTCAGTAGGTGAATTACACACATATGTTCTTTGTTCAAACTTTTCAGATAATTAAATGCTTTGCTATCCCCATTAATTTTCCCGGTTTTGACTTTGGGATGAGAGTTTCTGAGCAATCTGATAATCTCATATTGTTTGGTCAAAATGTTTTTTAACATGAACATTAAAGTAGCCCTCAAGCTGCTATTTGCTTTTATGAAGCATACTTTGGTTTCCTCCCGTGTTTTTGCTAAGCCAGAGTTTTGTTTTAGAGAATGAAAACAGTATATGAGAAAAATATCCTGCATTTTGTTTTTGCCAAAAACACAAAGGAATGAACATCAGACATCCAAAAATAGGAAGCCCAGCTTACTGTCATACTGTTTACAGGCACCTAAAGGACTGCCTGAGGGAAATACTGCATGTGCCGCTGTTCACAGAGAACACCGGCACATATTAACCATTGCCTGGCACAAGCTTAGCTTTTGAAGTCAAAATTAGAACTGAACGCCCATGAAATGCTCAGCACATATTTCTGAAATTACACTTTTGCAAAGGCATGTGGCATGTTGTTAAACAAAATCAGGGAAATGTAAAGCAACACCAAAATATTTTGCTATGATGACGATTTCTACATGTCTCTCTGCACATTCATTCTTTGCTGAAGTTGCAGTTCTTTAATGATGTATCACAGTTTGGGTGGTACTTCTCAGTGACCAGCCTAGATCAGGAAATGGACATTGACAGAGACTGCAGAAAAGAGCCAGTTGTGACAATATCTGAAATCAACTAGTGTCACAACTAACTTGTGAAACAACTTTTTTTGTATTTTACACATACAGTACTGACAACACTAAATAAAATGTCTGACTTTATCGGTACATAAGAACAATAAGTAAAATTGTGCCATATGATTACATTGTTGTGCAGCACTAGAATGAACACAGATACAAAGAACTCAAAAATGAAAACCCCCAGCCTTGAGTTTAGTTGCTGGTAAAAACCACAAGACATTAAAACTCTACACCACAGAACAGTAAAACTTAAAAAATGTGAAAATCTTCCAGGAAACAGCTCCACTATCTTAACTCATAAATCAGCCAGGAGCCTGGGGGCCCACAGTGAAAGACTGTTTACATAACTCTGACAACATCTGTGACTGAGCTGAATGATATATTACATATTGCCACAAAAGTCAATATTTAGTCATTCTAGAAATAAGATATACATCAGTTAAAGGGAAATCAAAAATGCCACACTTAAAATAGCTATATTACTTGCACCTAACAAGCTCAAAACCGACATGTCTGACACTGACTGACAGGCAATTGAATCTGTGACAATGACCTCCTCATCTTCACCAATCTCTAAATGAGTTGTGAAATACCTGGCAGCAGGTCCATAGTGAACAAGTTCCCATTTAGATCTGTGTCCAGCAGATGACTGGCGATGCATTCTGTGCAAAATTAAACTTCAGCTTAACTCTCCGCTGGTCTGACCTGCTCCACAGGACAGCTCTGAGCCATAAACAATGAACACCCCTAAACCCCCACCCCACCCCAGCTCCCTCCCTCTCTCTCTCTCTTTCTCTCTCATTGCTTTCTTGCCATTCGGAAATTTTCCTACTTGTTGCAAGAATGATCGTGGCCACTCCGCATCATTCTCTGTTGTTGTGTGCTTTCAGTCGGGGATGATGTTGTTGTTGTTGTGCCGCATGATGTTTGTGGGCCCTCAAAGACATCCAGAACCATCACAAGTCAGGTGGCATCAAGCAAGCAAATGGCAGCTGCTCGCATCACTAAACACAGCAGCTAGGCAGCTAACAATTATGGTCATTAACAATTAAACATTTGCTCTGTAAAATGTCAAAAAACTGTGAGATATCCATCACAATTTGCCACAACTAAAAAAAGCAATAGTCAGAAATTCAATGATATTCTGGTGATCAGTTTACTAACATAGAAGACTAATAAAACCAAAAGAATATATATTTTTTTTTTTGATAGATCACACAAGGGCAGCAGATTTTCTCATTTTATTTTTTATCACACATGAATGCACTTCATGGAAGGCAAAAGGACAAGTGCATATCTGTTTGTGACCCTTAGTCACTATGAAAATAGTTGACATTTAAAACCACAACATTTATGGCATTGATTTTTTTTTTCTTTTTTAGGGGTCACAAATATAAAGAGAGCATTCAAGTGTTCGTTATTCAAGAGTATTCAGATTGTCCAGATATAAGAAGTAGCAAAAAATCTATTCGCTCAAATTAAAGTAGTTAAATTGTGACATCCAAATTAAATACAAACTTGAATATTGGGGCTACCAAGAAATAGCAACAGCATCCTTCAAGTTCACAAGAACGGCAATATCATAGTCTCGATGCTATACGCGCATGTGTGTGTGTGTGTGCTTTATTTTGCTTCCATAGGAAACAACTTTTTTTTAAAGCTGGGGTATACTGAACAACCAAAAACAAATGCTCTTCTTTACTGTCAACATTTCTCAACACTGCATGGGCATAAGCCTTTTCCAGTGAGGGTTTTAAATCTAACTCCTTTTCCATTTTGTCACGCTGCTGTCATTCCACATGGAGCCTCTTGCTGGACACCTGTGGGCGGTGTAGAAAAGGACACCAAAAAAAAAAAAGATAACTTAAGTAGGATGGTGCCTGTCCTAAGCTCACCCTTGCTGACAGTGGGTAAAAGGGGGGGAGGTGAGGGTGAGTGGGAATGACTTGATTACTGTAGTCAGCCTCAACTTTGGTCCTGCTGACAACCGCAATGACTCAAATAGTTTACATGTGCCACGCCTACGACAGAATCCCTTACGACTTTTAGTCCATCATGGGTGCAGCTGTGCAGCAATCTGCAAGATTTTTTCCACTGTGCTCTAATCTCATGTAGACAGTGATTCAACACCCTGAGATAAAAGATATATCTGTGCTGAGCAGAGCCATCAGCTCTCTGCTATGTGATAAACATATCTCCCTGTCAGGCCGCATTGTTTTAGCTGAGCTCTTGAAGGAAGGTCTTGCGTGTGAGATATGAGATCCGTCTTAACTCAATCTCCAGAGGCCTGTTGGAGGCTGGGTGATCTATGCCAGCACAGCACACACATCCCTTACACAAACCCTGTGAGCATCGCATGTTATATAATGGTGTGGAAGAACAGCAGTACCCAGTGGACATGTGTCTGAGTGGGGCAAACACTAAACAACAACACATTTGATGAGTCTGGCAAGACATTACTCCTTACACCAGAATTTCCCCCAGTATGACTAGTGTTTCCAGTCAACAAGCACAGAAACAGGAGTGTCTGTTAACACTAAGGGTCTCCCACTGTACGAGTTAATAAACCAAGTTCGTCACATCTGCACAATGTTGTGTTTAACACAAACAAAGCTTAATGTGATCATGTTTAACAGGCTTCAGCTTCATGCATTCACTGCCTGCACAGTCTGGCGACATTGTGCCATGAAGCAGATAGGAATTTTACATAAACAGCCAGAAAAAAATCACTTTGATGTAAAAAAAAAAAACCTGCTTTATACCCCAAGTCAGGTTTCAAAAGAAGTGGCCTATTGCACTCTCTGTAACACCTAATGAGAAGGACTGAAATATGGGCAACAAATACACAAATAAAGACAAAGTGCACTACAATACCCTTATTAATGATCGGTTATTAAGTGCTTTGCCTTTAGAAAAATATAAGAAATAAAATTACTATAATGTTGGGATGCTGCTGTCCAAATAAAAGCCAGGAAATGTCAGTAAAAGTAAAAACTACAATGGAGTAAATAAGTATTCAACATGCCAACATTTACTTCCAGTGTAGTTACTCACATAAAATTAAGACCAGAAATTCTGTATTAACTCAATAAGCCACAGCTAAAGAAATCATAGCCGTCCAACCAATAAAAGCTTTGTGCATTAAATTGGAATTAGAGGGAATAAGTACTGAACAAGCGCTATGAACCACTGAACCAGGCGATTCCGCCTGTCTCTCCTGTGCTAAGCAGAACCAGATGGGTAGGCACAGGGTTCTCCCAAGATCTTTGCCTAAATAATTTAGAAAGACTTTATATATCTGATTGAAACATAATATGACAGACATCCTGGTCTATATTACTCAGCCCTACACAGTGGACATAGAGAGAGACACCCTCTTGAAATTTGTCTGTTCACTGATGGTGAGATGGGTGACTAGAAAAAACAAAGCCACAGGCGGCATCAGATCTAACTCACACAATGATTAATAACAATGCCAACAGTCTTCAGCTGCTTGTTTACCAGTGGTTAGACCACAAAGTGCTCCTGCTTTCCTTCACGGTTACTGTGCAAATCTTTCATTAGACCCCGTCTGCCATTGATAAATCCCAAACTTTGCTGAACAAACGGAAACAGATATAATAGATAGACAGCACATGTTTATTTTTCCAAATGAAATCTTTCAAGCTAAGAGATTTGTTTCTTTTCAGCATATACTTTGTTCAAAGTCGAACATAATAAGTCAACTTCCAGCAACTGTCCTCACTGCTGGTGTAGTTAGGCCAGGCTGTTATGCATTTGTACATCTTTGTTATTATAACCAATTCATCTACAAGTTTGGCACAAACCATTTAAGCAACATGTTAGTTATTTCCCCGCGTTGTTTTGCCATTTAAGCAACATGTTAGTTATTTCCTTGTGTTGTTTTAACCCTTCCAAATTAGTAGTGACTGATAGACATTTATAAATATTGGGAATCAGCTTATGACTCTTTCATTAATTTATTCTGTATTCTTAAATTCCTTTAACATTGACAGCTGAGGTAGAATTTACTGAAACGTATATGTATATGAATAAACTCCTAAGAGTCACTGTAGCCTCTGACGCCAAACTGTCCGGTCGTAGTCTCAAAGTCTGAAGATAGGGTTATGGTAAACAGTGCTTGCTGGAGTTTATTATTCAGAGAGAGAGAGATACTGTAAAAGACCTTGTTCTCATTACAGTGTGGTATAAGAGACTGGTGGAGTAAGGAGAAGGTAAGCAGATCCTGTGATGTGCTGGTGTTTATGTAGTTGTGCTTCACCATAGAAAGTCAGGAAGCACAATTTGTACCATGAAGTACTGGTATATTTACAGATGTGTTAGTCTTTCCAGAGCACCTTTGCATTCATTTCTTACCTGTGGTAGGGTTCTCTCCTGTATTTTTTCATTGCCAGATGATCCATGTTGGCAGGCAAGTCTGCATAGTTCTGCAGTCTGTCACTCCATGAAGTGGTCATCTTTAAAACTTTTCAGTGTCTGGGGAGAACAGCAAGTCACTGAACATCAAGGTTCTTCAGAAAACAAATGTACAGTACAGTGAAAAGTAGCTAATATAGTGTGGAAGAGAATCTTAATTTGACATGTTTAATTCAGTGACGTGCGGTCAGGGGAGGCAGGTGAGGCAAAGCCTCCCCTGTCAATCTTGAAAAGAAAAAAAAGTTAACCATAAAATATAATAAATGTTAATATTTGTCGGCTGGTGTGTGTTGTAGGCCCTTTTGCCGTTCGAATCCGATGTTGAATGAATCGAGCATTTCTACTGTACCATTCTGGAGAAAACTCACATTCCATGTGCAAGATTTGAAATCCAATACTGGATTTAGCAGGCACTTGATGAGAAGGTGCCGTGGACAAAGAAGCTGTGTGAGAGGTGGCAAGGGGAGGAGAGAAATGCTTGATTCGTTGTGTGGTAACCTGCGGGTCATGTAGAATCTATAAATGATGTCCTTATGCTGTAAATATTTTTAAGTGTTTTTATTAGGCTTGAAAGTTCATAAATAATACAGCATTGGAGTTAAGGTATTTTATTTTGAAAATCGCGAGCGTTGGCCCGTTTCAATACCTTTACCGTAAATGTAAGTATATAGAGTATAAAGGCGCACTTCAAATTCTAGCGCGGCTGGCTTGACCACGGAAAACTGAACAGCGGCTGATTTGACCGCAGTGTTCAAATACATGGAGGAGATGCGTGATGAGGCAGCACTTTGCTGTGCCTCTCGGTGGATCGTGTAATCCTCACAAACTGTATGCGATGCAAATAGTGTGTCGCTGTCCCTCTATATATCA